CCCGTAATGTCAGATTCCTTCCGCCCAGCCGGTATCCTTATGCTCCAGGGGCTCATTGGCAAGGCTTGCTTCTGGAAGGCCTTGTCTGTGGCCTGACTCTTCCTGATGTTCCTGTGTCCCTGCAGTCTGTGGTTGCTAGTCTTTGTGGCTCCTGCCTGAATAGGTTTTGTCTCTGCCGCTCCTTACCTCGTCTAGTCAAAATATTTCAAGACGTGTGTGGCTGTAGAGGAGACCTGGCTGATAAAAAGCTGCTCTGGGCATAGGTGGTTGGGTGCTCCCTTTCTGGGAAGCCATTCGATGGCTCCTGGACTCCATTCTCTCCCAGGTCAGCCCAGCTGGAGAAGGAGGTGGCCACGCTGCGGGAGAAGATCCACCATCTGGACGACATGCTGAAGAGCCAGCAGCGCAAAGTCCGCCAGATGATTGAGCAGGTGAGAGGAGCAGGGCTGGGGTGGGAGGACGGGGAGGGCAGAGCCTGGGAGGACTCAGAGCAGGCTTGAAAAAGAGAAAGGCAGAAATTAAATCTCTTAAGCTGCTTGAAAGCAAAGAATCACTGGTTTGTGGGGCCAAGCAGTTAATTCTCCGACTTGATTTGAGGCTTTTTTGATTGGTTTTTGTGCAGACCTTGGAGTTAACGTAATGGGTGTTAACAGGCAGAACAGGCTGCCCTCCTTCCTAGACACTTCCCCAGCCCAGCCGTACACAAGAGGGATTTTCAGCTGCCGTGAACTTTTCTCTTACAGCTCCAGAACTCCAAAACGGTGGTTCAGGCCAAAGACGCTGTGATCCAGGAGCTCAAGGAGAGAGTCGCTTACTTGGAGGCTGAGGTGCGTCTCAGCAGGGCTGTTTCGGGGGTGTATGGGGTCTGCTCTGAGCTCAGACCCTCTGGAGACCTCCCAGCGTGACTGGCTTGTGCATGCCTGTGGGTTGTGGCTGGGCTCCCTCGCAGCGATGAGCTCCGCTCTGGGCAGAGCGGCCGGCAGCGAAGCCCTTCCCTGGCACCGACGCCTGCTTCGCGTAGGAAAACGTGCCCTCTGCAGCCCCGAGGGCTGTGCTGCTTCCCCGAGCTGGTGCGATGGTTTCCAGTGCAGCCAGGGCTGCCGGAGCAGCTGTGAACTCAAGTCGAGTCCAAAATAATCCCATCAAGCACGTTTCTCGGGCAGCAAAGCCCTTCTTGCTTACAAAGCTGCAGCGGAGTGTGTGTGTGTCAGAAATTAAAATCGCATTGCAGCCTCTGGGATTGTAACAAGTGTCAAACCTCTCTCCTTTTTCGGAGAAAAACTGAGCCTGCGTTGGCACGTCTAGCATTTTCTCCCCTCCTTGGAGACTTTGCTGATTTCTGCATGGGGACGGGGTGTGTGAGCACAGCCTGCTGTGAACCCAGGTGGGAAAACAGATCCAGCATGAGAGACTGTGTGCTGGTGGGTTTCCGTGTCGGGTGTTTGGCAGGTCTTAGCACCGATCGCAGCTCCCTTTTGGTGAGCAGTCCCTACATAGGGCTGCATTTCATTTCCATCCAGAAAAAGCTGCCCCATGGCAAAAGATTGTACTGGAGCATTCCTCGGCAAGCAATCTGCGTGCCCGCAGCCCGCCTGTCCCCAGCTCCCCATTGCTAACTGCAGCCCTGTCTCTTGCAGAACCTGGAGATGCACGACCGCATAGAGCACTTGATCGAGCAGCAAGTCAGTCGGGGCGGCCACAGCTCCAGAGCGCGCTCGAAGTCGGAGTACGTGAGCAGGTACGTGGGGAGCATGTGCCCTCTGGCCTGCCTGGCTGTGCAGTGGCTTCCTCTGCAGGTCCTGGGGCAGCGGGAGATGGTGCTGGACTCAGGGATGCTCTCTGGAAACGCGCTGTGGTCATTTCTTTTTGTGGAGAGGTCTCTCTTCCTGTATTCCGCCTTCAGGGGAGCAGAGGTGCCTCCTGTGGGTGGTTGCGGGGGGGAGCGTCACTGGCCAGGGCTGGGGCAGGACCTCTCCCGCAGGTTTTCCCCTCAAACCCCACCCGGTTCGTTTGTCTGAACAAACCCGTTCTCTTGCAGCAAAAGGCCAACGGGCCCCAAGCCGCTGCCTCTCATTCGAGTAGTGGAAACATGAGTTTCGAGGGCCGGTCCGAGCTGAAGACTCTCTCCTTGTTATCGTTGACTGGATTTCCCTGCTTGACTGCCGTCCTT